CCCTGTCCTGACCCCACCCCTCCCACTCCACCCCATCTGTGACCCTGTCCACCCAGTTCAGCCTGCCCCTCCGCCACCCCCTTGGGGGGACCCCACCTGTTCCCTCATCCCCCCGTGGCCCCCTCCCTCCGCCCACCTGATCTGGCTGGCATTGAACAGCGAGAAGCCGCTCAGGAAGACGATGAGGCCGAACAGTGCGGCGGGGACCAGCATGCAGGTGTACCAGCCCAGCCAGGCGAAGTACAGGGCCACCTTCTCACCGAAGTAGTTCCTATGGCACAGCTGCCGTCAGGCCACCCGCCACGGGGGGCGTCACAGGCCAGTGCCCGGACGGGGTATGGGGGGGCAGGGAGAGTGTGTATTGGCAGCACATTTGCTCGGGGTTATAGCTGTGCCTGTGGGGGTGCAGGTGTTTGTGGGCACATAGGTGTCTCTTTGGGGGTACAGTGTGTCTAAGGGGCACAGGTGGATCTCTGAGGCACAGGTGTGTCTGGGGCACAGGTGGGTGCTGGGGCACAGGTGGGTGCTGGGACACAGGTAGGTGCTGGGGCACAGGTGTGTCTGAGGCACAGGTGGGTGCTGGGACACAGGTGTGTCTGGGGCACAGGTGGGTGCTGGGGCACAGGTGGGTGCTGGGGCACAGGTAGGTGCTGGGGCACAGGTGTGTCTGAGGCACAGGTGGGTGCTGGGACACAGGTGTGTCTGGGGCACAGGTGGGTGCTGGGGCACAGGTGGGTGCTGGGGCACAGGTAGGTGCTGGGGCACAGGTGTGTCTGAGGCACAGGTGGGTGCTGGGACACAGGTGTGTCTGGGGCACAGGTGGGTGCTGGGGCACAGGTGGGTGCTGGGGCACAGGTAGGTGCTGGGGCACAGGTGTGTCTGAGGCACAGGTGGGTGCTGGGACACAGGTGTGTCTGGGGCACAGGTGGGTGCTGGGGCACAGGTGGGTGCTGGGGCACAGGTAGGTGCTGGGGCACAGGTGTGTCTGAGGCACAGGTGGGTGCTGGGACACAGGTGTGTCTGGGGCACAGGTGGGTGCTGGGGCACAGGTGGGTGCTGGGGCACAGGTAGGTGCTGGGGCACAGGTGTGTCTGAGGCACAGGTGGGTGCTGGGACACAGGTGTGTCTGGGGCACAGGTGGGTGCTGGGGCACAGGTGGGTGCTGGGGCACAGGTAGGTGCTGGGGCACAGGTGTGTCTGAGGCACAGGTGGGTGCTGGGACACAGGTGTGTCTGGGGCACAGGTGGGTGCTGGGGCACAGGTGGGTGCTGGGGCACAGGTAGGTGCTGGGGCACAGGTGTGTCTGAGGCACAGGTGGGTGCTGGGACACAGGTGTGTCTGGGGCACAGGTGGGTGCTGGGGCACAGGTGGGTGCTGGGGCACAGGTAGGTGCTGGGGCACAGGTGTGTCTGAGGCACAGGTGGGTGCTGGGACACAGGTGTGTCTGGGGCACAGGTGGGTGCTGGGGCACAGGTGGGTGCTGGGGCACAGGTAGGTGCTGGGGCACAGGTGTGTCTGAGGCACAGGTGGGTGCTGGGACACAGGTGTGTCTGGGGCACAGGTGGGTGCTGGGGCACAGGTGGGTGCTGGGGCACAGGTAGGTGCTGGGGCACAGGTGTGTCTGAGGCACAGGTGGGTGCTGGGACACAGGTGTGTCTGGGGCACAGGTGGGTGCTGGGGCACAGGTGGGTGCTGGGGCACAGGTAGGTGCTGGGGCACAGGTGTGTCTGAGGCACAGGTGGGTGCTGGGACACAGGTGTGTCTGGGGCACAGGTGGGTGCTGGGACACAGGTGTGTCTGTGAAGGGGGCACAGGTGTGTTGGGGGCTGTGTTACCTGATATCGTCGATGGGCTGCTTACGGAACATGTTTCTCCAACGGGCCCATGTCCTCTCCAGGTTCTCCTTCCCCGGCTCAGGTGACTGGGTGCGAGCCCCGCCTCCGGCCCCGCCCTCAGGCCGGGCTCCCAAGCAGCCCCTCACCTTGTGCAGGGGGAACCGGGTCTCAAAGACCCCGTCCTTCACCAAATCCTCAAATGTGTCTGAAGGTCACAGGGGCCTGGGTCAGAGGGGAGGGAGGGGAGGAGGACCTGGCCACATCCTCCCGCCTCAGCACCCCCTGGCGGCCGCCCCATCCTCACCGCCCGCTGCCGTCCTGCAGTTGAGGATGAAGTTGACGATCCGGATTCTGAAACACAGGATGGCTCCGTGAAACCTTGGACCCGCCCCCGCTAGCCAGGTCCAGGCCCCATCCATCCAGGGGGAGCCCCAGCCCACCTGTCTCACCACCTGGCCGGAACCCAGACCCGGGTCTCCTCTGGGAGCCTGCCCTGACCTCCTTAATCCTGCCAGGGTGCAGCCACCGTGGCTCCAGGACGGGGCTCTATCTGGAGTGGTCCCTCTCCTCCGAGGGCCCCGGAAGCCTGGCCTGACCCCCACTCCAACCGCACTTCCTCCCTGGAGCTCCCACACGTCCGGAGCTCACCCTACAGCTTTATGAGCAAACCCTCTTTCGTCCCTGGGCCTTTCCACCTTTAGGGAGACTGAGGCTCAGAGAGGGTGAGTGACTTGCCCCGGGCCACACCGCTAGGAAGCGGCACAAGGAGCATCTGACTGGAGAGCCACACTCCTCCGGCGCCTTCTCCTGTGAGACCTGGTCCCCCGGCTGTCCCAGGGCCCTCGCCCTGGCCTGGTCCTCCCAGACCTCATCGAGGTGCCTCTACTCATTGTCCTCCCCTTGCTCCTCCCCAGACCCGCCAGGTCCGCTCCATGGCCTCAGATCCACATGCTGGAAGTGTCCTTGGCCAGTCTCCACTCCCACAGCCCAGCTGAGCTCGGGGGGACCTGGGGTGAGCCGGGCAGGTGATGGAAGGGGGGCAGGGGACCAGACTGTAGAGCCGGGGGCTCAGCGGGGAGCAGGTGCTCAGAGCGAGAGCAGGAGTTGGCTCCTGAGCCACCAGCACAGAGGCCGGGACGGTGGGGGGTCTGCCTCTGCTCAGAGCCAGACGATGGCGGGGCGGCCCTCTCGGCCTCTCCGAGGCCTGCCCCCCCGCCCCGTCTTTATTTCTTTTTAATGTATTTTTATTGATTTCAGAGAGGGAGAGGGAGAGAGAGATAGAAACATCAGTGTGGAGAGAGAATCATGGACCGGCTGCCTCCTGCACGCCCCACACTGGGGATCAAGCCCACAACCCAGGCACGTGCCATGCCCTGACCGGGAAGCGAACCGTGACCTCCTGGCTCATAGGTCAACGCTCCACCCCTGAGCCCTGCCGGCTGGGCTCCTGCCCACCCTTTAAGTTCCATGTGACTTTCAGAATTCTCCAAGAGGTGAGACCTGTCGGCACCCCTTCCACAGGTGTGGAACTGACCAGAGCCCCGAGGCCACGCCTGGGGG